ACATCTTGCATATAAAAATTAACATTTTCATTAAAAAAAAAACACTTTTTTATAAATATAGTTAGTCTTTATTGCCGGCTTCGATAGTGGTTTTGTGCCCCCTCTAACCCCCGGATGCGCCCATAATCAAGAAACCTAAAATTAAATTTGTAGTAAATTTGTAGATGACTCTTGTATCTATCTTTTGATACCAAGATATTAACACTTGAATAAGAATTGGTTAAGTTATAATAATTTTAGTTAATAAAAAGTTTATTTTGACCACAGTTTCTTCAACAAATCCTAATATCAAAAAATCGGTACTTAAAACGTCATAACTTTTTGTAGGGTGGTTCGATTTTGAAAATTTTTTCACTTTTAGAATATTGACATTAAACTCTTTTTAATGATATATAACAACATATAATTTGATGAATTTAAAAATTTCATGTGATATACCTACATATGTATATATATATATATATATATATATATATATATATATATATATATATATATATATATATATATATATATATATATATATATATATATATTTATACACATTTTTTAGGGAAAATTATAAATTTCTTGACTGTCATTGAGTGCAATATATCAAGTGTAAGTAAACGTAATATGTTAGGTATATTTAAGTATATCAAATGAATTGTTGTGCTCATTTATACTTGATTTATTAGATCAATTTATTACTGTTGATGTTTTCTAAAAGAAGATTTTTTGTTAGATACATCTGAGTAGATTGATTAAAGGCAATCATCGGCCATGTAACAACTGATGACAAAAATTTGGCACAATCTTTGATAAGCTAAAACTTATTGAATATTTAGTTATCCAGTCTTATTTTTTTAGTTATTTTGTTTATAAAGTGTTACTTATCTTTTACCAAAAATTTTGTTTACTTAGATTAGTTAATAAAAAAGTGATTCAAAAATGAAGTCGACTACGTTAATTGAACAAGTGAACAACTATTGTAATTTGCATCCTAACGCTAAAAAGAAGAGCATCGTAAAGTATTTTGTTACCTCTAATCACCCTGAAAGACTCATTAAACGTTTTTTGGCAAAGTGGAAGAACAATGAGCCTAAGACTCGAAAGCCTGGATCGGGCATAAAACCAAAAATAATGACTGCTGGGAACATCAATTGCTTTTGAACAGCCGGTCTGAAACTTCAACAAGAAAAATTGCAAATAAATTCAAGTGTGATTATGCCTACATAGTAAAAACAATAAAAAACAAAACAATCATTTTTTATTTTTAGAAAAAACAAATCCCCGATCGCACTGAGAAACAATTAAAGCAGTTTTAACTGAAGTGTGGAAGAATTAGTCACAAATTCAGAAACCGCGGCTGTCATTGACGATGAGTCTTATTTTACATCTAAACATACACAAAAAAATTGGAATGTTGAATTTTACTCAGATGACGCAAAAAATGCACCAAAAAATGCAATATAAGCGCAAAAGCAAATTTTCTTGTGTGGATTACCATATCCACTCGTGGAATCTCAAAACCATTTATTGTTCCTGGGAGACTGGCAATTAGCCAAACAGTGTACAAAAATGATTGCATCATCAAACGATTGATTCCTTTTATCAACAAACATCACAGTCATGGTAATTATGTATTCTGGCCTGACTTGGTCTCTTCACATTATGCTAGAAGTGTGACCAATTACCTCGATTAGAAAAATATCCGTTATGTAAAAAAATTTGATAATCCAGCATGTGTCCCAGGATTAAGACCAATTGAAGATTTCTGGTCAATCCTTAAAGTCTACGTGTATGAAAACAATTGGGAAGCTGAAAATGAAGATCAGCTGCGAAAAAAATGTCATTCCTGTTTTAAAAAAATTGATAAAAATCTTGTACAAGGCATGTGTGAACATAAATACAAAAAAGTTGATGCCGTACGTCGTATTGGCGAGAAACCATTATTGCAGTCCTGAAAATAAAGAACTTATATATTGTTTAATATTCTGTACTAATTTTTTGATCAATAAACTTTTAGTTGTACTATTACTGTCTGTGTTTATTTTGTGACAAATTTTTGTCACCAAATAAAATACAAAATAAAAGAATGAAAAAACCGTTAAAATATAAAGTTACAACAAAGTGTGCTTCGTTGTCAAAACAACAAACAACCGAAAGAAAAAAAGAAAAAAACTATAAACGGCTGCCTAATCACTTGAATCGAACTTTGAAAGAAGAAATTTGCTTTTATAACTACATTTAGAAATTAAATTATTTCCTTATTTAATAAGGTGTCATTGGTGTAAGATATTATGAGATACTTTTCAAATAAACAAAGATTGCAAAGTTTTACTATGGGATTGTAAGATCTACAACGTTTTAAATTTTCATTTTAAATTAATGAGGTTACCCCTCACAGACCATACTATTGTATTTAATATATTTACCAACTATTTTATCTTTATTAATAAAAAACTATACAGGGAAATCAGACCAATAAAACGCAACTTTAGATACTTTCTTAATATGCCAAATACTAATAACCTCTTTATTGATCTTGCGAGTGAAGATGAGGTATCTAATCTTATCAATGATACTTTAAAAAATTACACAAGCTATGGTCATAACAGCATTTTTTCTAAAACCTATATCTAACATTATCTCAAAGCCACTTTGCACTATTATTAATAACTTATTTAAAAGTGGCACATTCCCTGATTTATTTAAAGTAGCTAGAGTTGTTCCAATACTCAAAAAAGGCTCTCTTCTTGATAACACTAACTATCGACCTATTTCCCTTCTTTCCAATTTGAGCAAACGTTTTGAAAAGGCTATGCATAACAAGCTGTTTAAGATTCTAGAAAAATGTAAAAGCCTATACCAACATCAGTATGGATTCCGAAGCAAACATTCCACAACCCTTGCACTCATTAAAATTACTGAGAGGATTCGAAAAGCTCTGAATAACAAGCACTTTACATGTGGAGTGTTTGTAGATTTGGAAAAAGCTTTAGACACTGTAGATCACTCAATACTTCTAACAAAATTGGTGTATTATTGAATCAGAGGTATCCCACTTAAATGGTTTATTTCTAATCTTAACAACAAAAGAAAACAGTTTGTTTCCAATAATGGGACTAATTCTGTCAATAAAAGTGCTTAAATGGTGTCCATAAAATAACATTACTTTTTTGTTGCTTAAAAATAATATTTTTAAGCAACAAAAAAGTAATGTTATGCAATGATTTAATGCAAAACTGTTCTACGATAGTAATATTTTGCCACAGTAGTTCCTCATATCGACACCATAATCGCATGACAAAATTCTGCTTTAAAGTTTATCGTTATCGTTTTCTTTAGTGCTTTTATCTACTTTTACACTAATTTTATAAATTAAAATAAAACATTTGAACAATATAATAAATTATATAAAGTATATATTTATCAAATATAGATAAAAATATTTAATGATAGTATTATTTAGGGCATACCATGCAGTGTGCCATACCACGCCATATCTTGCATATAACTAACAAACACAAGGCAAACAAAAACACACGTACAAATCACAAGCTAACTCAACACAATATATAAATCGATATACGTGTTATAATAATAGATAGATTGAAGTAGATTAAAATAGGGCAGGACAATTAACTATTCACATAGTTTGTTATTACAAAAATAACAAAAATAAAATAAATATTACATATATAGTAAAATATAAAAATAAATACTGGAAAACTGAACCTCGATATTACATTATGAATAACGGTGTTTTAACTTCTTTAGTTGGCATCATCTAGTTTAAAGTTTCTTCAGTTTTTCTTTTTAAAAGGCATACTGCAGGGAATCTAAAACAATGCTATTTCATGGTAAATAACTGATGTTAAAAATTAGGCATGACATAAATAGACTTGTAAACAACAATAACATAACATGAATACTATGTTACTATTTAAAAATTAAAGTCTTGACTCAAGTTAACCTAACATCAAACCATTAAATCAGTTCGTGAGGGTTTAATATTTTATATAATTTAATAAATGAAAAAATAATTAATATCACTAACATTTTAATTGTACCTGACTAAACAATAATCACTTTAGGTTGTATTATTACTTGAAAATAATTATTTATTGCAATTAAAACATATTGAAAAAAATTAAAAACAATTGTAATTTTGACCACAATAAATTCTGTAATAAAATTATTTTCACTTTGAAATAATCTCTAAATATGAATACTGTAAAAATTCAATGTTCAATGTCGCGTTACGTCATCGTTTATTGTTTTTTCAAGTAGATTCTAGGCTTTTTTTAGAGCGCGTTTTTTAAGTACATGCGGTCCACTCAAAAGGTCTACCGAGCCAGACCTGACGAACTTCTCTTAACTTTTTAGGGAAATCATTTTTATATAGTTTCAATTTACATGTTTACTTAAGTTGAATTTTGCAATTTTTTATTTTAGAACGTTGTTATAAAATGATGAAGAGTTGTAAAGTAAAAATCTTATTTTTACTTGATAGGTGATATTTAATTTTATTAATTTAATTATTATAGATTAGCAAAAAAGAAAAATGAACGGTAAAGTTTTTATTTTAATCTTTTTCAAAACATTTTATTTGTTTAACATCAAAGGAGTCTTATTGTAAGGAAAAATTTCAATTTACATGTTTACTTAAGTTGAATTTTGCAATTTTTTATTTTAGAACGTTGTTATAAAATGATGAAGAGTTGTAAAGTAAAAATCTTATTTTTACTTTATAGGTTATATTTAATTTTATTAATTTAATTATTATAGATTAGCAAAAAAGAAAAATGAACGGTAAAGTTTTTATTTTAATCTTTTTCAAAACATTTTATTTGTTTAACATCAAAGGAGTTTTATTGTAAGGAAAAATTTAAACTATGTGAAAACTATTTGAACGATTTAAAAGAAAATTTAAATAAGACTTATTAATAATCATAATAATAATTTTAGTGACATTTTAAGTACATTATCAAGTATATAGTATATTTTTTTTTTCTGTTTATTTAATGTGTAACTTTGATTTTTTGTTTTTTTTGGTTTACTATAATTTATTATTTTTTCATTTATATTTTGATTTATATTATTATTGTAAATAATATTTATTTCTATTTAGTTAACCACGGAGATGAAACTGAAGGTAAGTGTTGATTTTTTAAATATTTAAGTATAATTTATTATTTTTTCATTTATATTTTGATTTATATTATAATAATTATTGTAAATTCTATTTAGTTAACCACGGAGATGAAACTGAAGGTAAGTGTTGATTTTTTAAATATTTAAGTAGAGTTTAAAATATTAGTAGTATATAGTAGAGTATTTTTGGAGTTGAATTTTCATTTAGTTGACAATGATGGGGAAGATGAAAGTAAGTTTTAAATTTTGTAACTATTTTAGTAGAACTAAATTTATATGTTAATGATAACTTCTGTCTAAAACAAGATGTTAATTGTATATATAATTTGTTTAGTTTATCATAAGCGACCTGATAAAGGTATAATCGTTAGTTAGCCAATTAGCAATTAATTTTGTTTTTAAAATTATTGAATTTTTATAATATATGTCTTTAAAAGATTTTTATAAAAGTGTATTTAAATTTATTGTTTAGACAAAGCACTAAAGAAATACAGTCAGTATTTTTGTCATTAAATATTTGTCATTAGATTTAATAATTTGTACTGTTTACTTTTAACTTGCTTTTTACTTTATAGGAAAATTGAAACTTAGACTAGGTATAAACTCACCACCTGATACTACTACAACTGGTTGGGTTATGCTTTATATTTTTATAAAAATGCAAATATTAAGATGTTCAGTTTTTACTTTATCTGACTTTTATTTTATTTTCCCTTTCTTTAGCATTGACATCTGGTAGTACTACTACAATTGGTTGGGTTATGCTTGATATTTTTATTAAAGTACAAAAATTAACATGTTCAGTTTTTATTTATCCTACTCTTATTTTACCCTACTTTTATTTTAATTTTTATTTCTTTAGCGCTGACATCTGGTACTACTACAATTGGTAAGGTTATGCTTTATTTTTTAATTGAAATACAAATATCGACATGTTCAGTTTTTATTTTATTTTTTCCATTTTTTTAGCATCGTCATCTGGTACTACTACAATTGGTAGGATTATGTTTTATATTTTTATGCATTTTTTTTCAAATTGCAATTTTATTCAAAATACAAATATGAACATGTTTGGTTTTTATTTTATTTTTTCCATTTCTTTAGCATCGTCATCTGGTACTACTACAGTTGGTACTACTTCAGTTTTTACTTTATTCTACTTTTTTTTTCCTTCTATTTCTTTAGCATTGTCTGGCACTGCTGCAACCGGTAGAGTTATGCTTTTATCTTATTATTATTTTAAATGCAAATATCTATTTTTTTTATTATATTATTTTTTATTTCTTTAGATCTAAATTGGAGCAGCTACAGGCTTTATCGCTCCCAGCACCCAGGACCTCTTTCTGAGAGGTCCTTTAACAAATGGTGCTTTAATAATGGTATGGATGAGCCCTCATTTAAATGGAGAGCTCATCCATACAGGGGTGCTGGGAGGCACCAAGGAAAAAACAGCAACAAAAAAATTTTAAATATCTTTAATCAGTGAAGATATTTACAATTTTTTTGTTGCTGTTTTTTCCTTGGTGTTTTATTCTCAATGAAATAAATTTATAATTTTAATTTTGTTTGTTTTTATTTTTTTAGTATTTGTTTAGACTATTAATTTTTGACTAGACATTTAATTTTTGGTTCACAATATAACATGACTGTAATTGTCCCCAATATATATCATATCAGTTAAATCAGAAAAATGTACTATAGTAGATAATTAACTGTAAAAAAAAACCACATGTAAATTTCTAATATTTTAAAGTTTATAATTTGTTGATTTTTACCAGATTTTATTTCTTTTCATTGTTTCGAATTCAATATTTTAGTGTTTAGAACTGCTTTTAACTTATGTTAAGCTTTAATAAATTTAATCTTCTAATTTTTATCTAATATAGATATTTTAATATGTAAAATAGATAGTCTTAATAATAAAGAAAAAAAAAAAAGTAAGTAATAAGAAAAAAGAAAAACAGATAAATGATCTTTTATATATTGAATTTGAATTTTGTCATGTTGCTTATTATATTATTGACATTTCAATGATGCTGTTAGATTTTTGTTTATTTCTTTAGAATTTAGAAAATTAAATTAAACTACAACTTTTGAACAGTCATTTCATTGTTTGTGAAGGTTAAATTATTTTAATATTTTTTAAACAATTTTTTTATAGAAATAATTTGAAGTTTACAAAAAGGGTTTACAAATACTTTATTTTTTAATTTTTTTTTCTATTTTTTGTTTAAGCAGCACTTTTATTATTCAAATTTATTATTCAAATTTTATTATTCATTATTTTTTAATCCTCTTCGTTATTTTTTTATTTAGATTGTTATTATGAGTTAATTTTTTGTTTAAACATCTCTTACCAGATATATTTATGAAATTTTTTTTATAAAAAATGCACAAGATTGTTGTATAATTTAGTTTATTTTAAATAAAAATTTCCTGTCATTTTTTATATATAATTTGTATGTATGTGCAATTTAGAGTAGTAAAAAAAAAAAAGATCACAATCTTCTGGATTAATTCAAGTTTTTTTGTTTCTATTATCAATTAAAAGTAAAATTTAAATGGATGAAAATGATGAAAATGTTAATAGGCAAGTTGAAAATAATCGTCGCAGAAATGCCAGAAATAGGCTGAGGCGAGATGAAATTAATAATCAACAGAATGCTAGATATGCTGCTCGGCAAGCCGCAAATAATTTGAATCAAAATGAGGACAATGTCATTAGGCAAGTTGAAAATAATCGTCGCAGAAATGCCAGAAATAGGCTGAGGCGAGATGAAATTAATCATCTTCAAAATATTAGATATGCTGCTCGGCAAGCTGCTAATAATTTGAATCAAAATGAGGACAATGTCATTAATAATAATCGTCGCAGAAATGCAAGAAATAGGCTGAGGCGAGATGAAATTAATAATCAACAGAATGCTAGATATGCTGGTAGACATGAAAGAATGCATTGTATAGCAAGAAGTAATACTATTCCAGATTATAATTATTTAGGAGAAATGAATCATATTTGTCAGCATTGTGGTGCTAAGAAATTTCCTGATGAAACACATTTTTTATGTTGCCCTAATGGAAAGGTAGTTTTGTCTCAACTTTCACCATTTCCGCAAGATTTACAAGATTTATTTACAGGAAGTTATGTAGATCGAAATGCCAATGTGAATTTTCTAAAATATATTCGAAATTATAATGCCTGTCTTTCTTTTGCTTCATTTACTGCTAATGTAGTTCAACCCATGAATCATGGGCCGCCATGTTTTAGAATATGTGGTCAGGTTTTTCATCGTGTTGGTAATCTTAGGCCAGATCAAGATATTCCTCCAACATATTGTCAACTATACATTTATGATCCACTTGCAGCAATAAATTTTAGAATGCGACAACCTGGTAATGATCTTTGCTTAAATGATTTAATGTTTCGGTTGCAAACTGTTATTAGTGAGGAGAACCCATTTGCTCTCGCATTTAAAAACATGGCTGAAGTGGAAGATGAAGAAATTCGCCAAGCAGCTATAGAAGGTCGCTCAGTCTCAGTTGTAAAAATGTCTTTACTTGAAGGGCAAGATAGACGTCGCTATAATCTCCCTTCACATAATGAAGTTGCAGTTGTATTTGTTGGTGAAGATGGTGCTCCTCCTGCTTCCAGAGAAGTTGTTATTTACCCGAGAGGTCATCCTCTTAAAACTATATCAAGTATGTCTGCCAACTTAGATCCTATGGTTTATCCTCTATTTTTCCCAAGGGGTGATGCTGGTTGGCATAATCAATTGGTTCACAACCCTGAACGTGCTACATTGGTTAGAAATCATGTTACATTATCTCAGTATTACAATTATCGACTTTCGGTTAGACAAATTTTTTCTTCAATCTTTTATGGCAAGAAACTATTTCAGCAATATGCTGTTGATGCATATGTCAAAATTGAAGGCCAGCGCCTTGCTTTTATCAGAAATAACCAAAACAAACTTAGAAGCGAGCAGTATGATGCCTTACATGAACATGTAGACAACCTTGGAAACGATCATAATGTTAGAGTAGGGCGCGTTGTAGTTTTGCCATCTACTTATGTAGGAAGTCCTAGAGCTTTAAAAGAAAACTTTGAAGATGCTATGGCTATAATTAAAAAGTATGGTAAACCAGATCTTTTTATTACTTTTACCTGCTACCCAAAATGGCGCGAGATAACTGAAAATTTATATCCAGGTCAAACTGCAAATGATAGACCTGATTTAGTTACACGAGTATTTAAACTCAAATTAAATAATCTCCTAAATGATATTTTTAAGCATGGTGTATTAGGGAAAGTCGTAACCCATGTTCATGTTATCGAATTTCAAAAGCATGGTTTACCACATGTTCATATTTTACTTCACTTTGCCACTGATGACAAGCTGGAGACAGCACAGGATATCAATAGTTTAATATGTGCTGAAATTCCAGATTATAAATCGTGAACTTTATGATGTTATTAAAACTTGCATGATTCATGGCCCATGTGGCATACTGAATCCAAATTCTACCTGCATGAAAGATGGGGTGTGCAGCAAAAATTATCCTAAAGAATTTAATGCCAACACAGTAGTAGTTCATAATGGTTATCCTCGCTATAGGCGTCGTGATAATGGTTTGGTTATCAATATTAAAGGCAACAATGTAGATAACCGCTGGGTGGTACCTTACAATCCATGGTTATCAAAGAAATATCAAGCCCACATTAATGTTGAAGCTTGCATGTCTGTTAAGGCTGTTAAATATTTGTACAAATACATATACAAGGGTCACGACTGTGCCAATATTTTGATAAATGAACAAATTAATCATGATGAAGTAAACACTTTTTTAGACTGTCGTTATGTTAGTGCACCTGAAGCATTGTGGCGAATTTTTGAGTATCCCATAAGTCCTATGTCACACACTATTATCCGTCTTAAAGTTCATCTTCCTGAGAATCAATTAGTGTATTTTAGAGAAGGAGCAGAACAAATGGCTTTAGATCGTGCAGCTCAACGTGATACACACCTTACAGCATGGTTCAAGTTAAATTCTGAAAATGAAAGAGCACATTGCTATTCATATGTAGACATTCCTTATCATTTTATATTTGATGATAAGCTTTGCAAATGGAAGGTTAGACAAAGAGGTGGTAATAAGGTGATAGTAAGAATGTATAAAGTTAATCCAAGTGGAGAATTATTTTTTCTTAGGCTGTTACTTTTGCATGCAAAAGGAGCCAAGTCTTTGGTGGATGTGCGTACTGTTAATGGTATTTCGTGAAGCATGCGTTTTAAATGGTTTGTTACAAGATGACACTGAATGGCAAAATGCACTTTCTGAGGCAGTTTTAACACGTATGCCAAAGCAAATTAGACAGTTATTTGCAATTATTTTGACTTTTTGTGAACCAGACAATCCTTTGCATCTTTGGAATACATACAAAGCATTTATGATTGAGGACTTTATTCACCGCTCAGTCCCGCTTATAATAGCTGAACAAGCTGCTCTTTGTCAAGTTGAAAAGATTATTAATCAGTGTGGTAAAACGCTGGCGGATTATAATCTTCCTGTTATTGAGTCAGATTTTAATCTAGATAATCTAGAAAATTTCAATCAAAATGTTCAACAATCAAAATTGATGAAGCCAATAGAATGAGACCACTGCTCAATGTCAATCAATTAAATGTATGTAATGCTATTCTTGCTGCATTGAATGAACAACCAAGTGTAGAAAATCAGCATTCTCGATTGTTTTTCATGGATGGACCGGCTGGTAGTGGAAAAACGTTTACATATAATTATTTGATTGCTGAAACCAGCAGTAGAGGTATCAAATCTGCTACAGCTGCATGGACTGGCATAGCAGCAACTCTTCTTACAAATGGATCTACATTGCATGGCTTATTCAAACTTCCTGTTCCAATATTAGATAACAGCACATGTAATGTTACTCCAAACTCTATGCATGGACACTTTTTAAGTCAGGTTAGTTTGTTTTTGCTTGATGAAACATCCATGATACCCAAACATGCATTAAATGCAATTGATAGGTTATTAAAAGATGTTTGCAACAACAACTTTCCATTTGGAGGAAAAGTCATTCTTTTTGGAGGCGACTTTAGACAAATACTGCCTGTTGTGAAAAGAGGACAACCAGCTGAAGTTGCAGAAGCATGTATAAAATGTTCTTAACATTGGCAATGGGTGCAGAAGTTTAAGTTAACAGAAAATATGAGAGTACGTGATGGGGAAAGGGAATTTTCAAATTGGCTGTTGAGACTTGGTAGTGGAACAGTATTTGTCAAAGAGGAAGATCCTTTTAAAGGGTGCGTTGAAATACCGCATCAATGCCTTATTAGGGAAAATGACTCCATTGTTGAAAAGATATTTGGGGATGCCGAACAAGACGATTATGCTAAACGTGTCATTTTGACACCAACTAATGTGGATTCACTATCAATCAATGAGGAAGTGCTTCAACGTCTACCGGGTGAGGTCAAAACTTATTTAAGTGCTGATCAAGTTGAGACAGACAATCTTAATGAAAGAAATAACTTTCCTGTTGAGTTTTTAAATAGCTTAACTCCCTCAGGTATACCTCCTCATTCTTTAAAGTTTAAAATTGGTTGTATAATTATGTTTCTTAGAAATTTAGATCTCAAAGCTGGGTTATGCAATGGCACTCGAATGAAAGTTTGTGCTCTTCAAAATAATTATATCGATGCAGAGGTTTTGACAGGTGTTTCTGCTGGTAAACGGGTATTTGTACCTCGAATTCAGTTGGCTCCGTCAGATTCTAATTTACCTTTTGTTCTAAAACGTCGCCAGTTTCCTGTCAGATTGGCATATTCAATGACAATTAATAAAAGTCAAGGTCAAACATTTGATAGAGTTGGTGTATATCTAAAGAAACAGTGTTTCACTCATGGTCAACTTTATGTTGCATGTTCAAGAACTAGAGCATTTAATAGTTTATTTTTTAAAATTGATAAACATCCTATTCAAGGTATGATAGGTGAAAAGTGTTAAACAAATAATGTTGTATTTTCTAATGTTCTTAATTTATAATAATGAGATTTTTGTTATAATTTCACTTTTTTTCAAAGTTTTATTTTATATTGTTTTAGTAATTATATTTGTCTTTATACATGTTTATAATTGTTATAGGTGTTATGTAAGTGTTATATTTATGTTATGTGTTAGTTGTTATTTAAATTGTTCATGTAATACTTGGGCTATATGTGTTATCAAGGTTATGTGTTTAGGGTTTGTGTATATGTGTTTATAGTTTGTGTATATATGTTTATATTACGTTGTTTCCATGTTTTCAAAGTGGTGTGACTTGGCAAACGTGTCGAGCAAGATAGTTACCTTGCCAGCCAAGCGGTGTACTTAAAGCAGAGGTGTGATTTGGCAGCGTTTAGTGCCAAGTGGTGTTACTGCTTTGTTGTGGCTAGGTTGTGTTGTCTAGCCTTTTTTAATAATTCTGGAAACACGTAATGGCTATTAATATTAAGCATCATATGTACATACAAATATGTTATGTGTTAAATGTGTTAATATGTTTTATAATGTTATATCGTCACGATCATAGCACAATTGCCTAAGTCATTTTTTGGGGTTTTTTTGGAAGTTAAGAGTTGAAATATATAGCTTAAACAGTCTAATAATGTGGCAAATCGCCTTAAACCAATCAGAAAGGAGTTGATTTTTAGTTTTTTCACTTCTGCTTAAATCCGCATTTTTACTTATATCTTATTGCTTTTGACCTATATTCTATTGTGTCTCAACGGTAATACACATACCATTTCCAAAGCAATATATGAAAGCATCTAAGTAAAAAGATGCCAAAAATAAGCCAAAGTGACGTAGCAAAAGAAATACCGAAGTTATTCATTTTATTTTTTTAGTTTTATCAAAACAAGAAAAAAATGACTTAGACGATTGTGCTATGATCGTGACGATATGTTTATAGTTTGTTTCTTTGTCTATTTTATGCAGTGGTTTCAAAGTGGTTTGACTTTGCCATTGTAAAGAGCAAGTGTAATGTGTACTTATAAATATCTTATGTGCTTTTGTTGTGCGTTATCGTTGTAATATTGTTGTGATGATTTGTGTTGATAGACAGTTGGCTTACCTTCCCGTTGGTGTCTATCATTCACTAAAAGCCAAGACAAAACATATTGTTTTAAACACAATTTGTTTATATTTCAATTTGTTGTTTTTTTTTATCTTTAGTGTTGTGCATAGTTCTATTCTTTAAAACATTTTTAATTTGTTTTTTAATAAATGTTAATTTTTTCGTCTTTAATAAAAGCCAGCATGAAATAATGTCATTGAACAACACCATTAAATATTGCTTCATCAAAACAGCAACTGCAGTTTGCCAAAAACAGGTTAATTGTTTTCCTGTTTTAAAAATGTTTTTCTTTTCTATTATATTTACTTATCTATTACATTTTTCTTTTAGACACCATGTGACGTATTTATGCGATACAGGAGAACACAAATAATAATTATGTTTTGTTATTAAATAATAAAGTTTTGTTAAAAAAAATATAATAAAATAAATTTGTGATTTTGTAATAAACGGAAGGGTCGGATTTTAGAAGCATGAAATATTTGAAAATTTCTGTTTAAAATGCATTTTTCATCTATGATGGAGAGACCTTTATGTAATTAACTAAAATTTAAATATGCGCACATTAAACGCTTTTAAGTTAAATAGAATTCCTTAATAAAGGAGAGGGGGTTACCAAAAAAATTAATAAGTGTCCCGTTAGACATTAGAAGTTAACATTTATATAAGTATTATAAAATTTTTTAACTGCTCCAAAAAATTTAAAGATGTTTAGGAAAATTTCAACTAAATGATAATAAAAACGCCTTCACTCTAAAAAAAATATATATCAAAAAAAAAAAGTTTTTGTCATAATTAACAGTAACTCCCTTAAGTTAATTATTATGTCTTTTTCTAACACGGTGCCTTGGAAACACTGTCTTAGTCTCACTTAAATAAGAATTAATAAAGCGAGATAAAACCTGAATAAGTACGGAGCTCTTGCGTACTTCTTAACACTATTGATAATGACCGTCTATAAACATACTTTACGCGTTGTTTGCTGTTTTATAAAATAATTATAACTATAAGCAATGACATAGCTAATAGGGAGCCGAACTTTAAATACAAATTTATCTGTAAAATTATTTACAGATAAATTTGTATTTAGATATATATTTTTAGATAACGTAGAAAGTTTTGTTGTAACAAATGGTTTAGTTATTTTTAACCCGTATTACGGGTTGCTTACTGCTAGTATTGCATGAATAACATACAAGCTTTACCATATATAAATCTTACTACTACTATTATTATCCTAATAATCAACAGATAAACGAAAATAAAAATAAAAACAAATTACCGTTGAGGTACCAAATGAAATTTAAGTGAAAAATCCTTTAAATGTATATTTATTCCAAATCATGTCACACTACTGTATATGTAGTTTTAAAAATGTTTTTTATCATATATATTTATAAACTTTTAATAAAAATAATGTAAAACACACTATTCTTGTTCTAAAAATATGTCAAATATCATAAAAAGTTCATATCAAAATATCATAAAAATTGTCAAATATCATAACCTGTATATTTTGCAAATTCTATATATATATTAATATACAGAAATTATTTTATCAGGGTTGCCACTATAATTTTTGAAGTTTTTTCCTGAGTATTCACTAAGAAAAGAACGTTTTTTCCTGAGTTGAACTCTTTAAGTTCCCTGAGTTTTCCCTGACTTTGCTATTTTCTTTCCTGTTCATCAACGAGATTATTACTTTCCTTAATTAAACACAATCTTTATATTTGACAAACTAAAACTTTTACAACATCCATTCCTTGCCATGTACTTGCACAGTATGACTAAGTCTTATTTTAAATCTAAGATAGGCAGGCATAACATTACCTTCTATATAAACATATCAACACAAAACATAAAAGGTTTTATGGTTTTGTTACCAGAATAAGGCATAACATTAGGCAACTGATTCCATTGCCCATTAATATTAGTAGTTTTTTCCGCAACAATGTTATCATAGATTTCACGATTCTTAAATAAAGCACTATCGTGAACAAATTCGCCATAAGGATTCAAATATAAATCAAAATTATTTTCCTTAACAGCAGGCTTCTTATTAACCATGTATGGATTAAACGGAGAAACTATCTGACGAATAGGACCAGCTACATTAGGGGCACCAGAAGAATCATAATAAAACTTTTCTTCGTTAGCTAAAAATTGAATATTAGCATGAGTTGGGCCAGATGTCATTGCTCTTCTACAAAGATTACCAATACCATAATTAGGCAAAGTAACATGACTAAATAAATAATCGGCTCGGTACGTATTCAACACATTAAATGTTTGATGTCTAACGCCATATTAATCAAGTGTCTCTTGATCTTTAACAGAATAATCAACAAATGCACCAGCACCTGTAAGATCGCCTGATGCCTTAACTGCAGATATAAAAGGTACAGGAATAGAAACTTCAGGTTCATTAATAAGCAATTGAATAGGTTTACGCAAACCGATATCGTTATTCCATTCTAAAGTATAAATAACAGCCTCTGCACAATTATTTCTCTCTTCAAAACGAGGATCCTTAGTATTAACAAGTGAACTAAAGCGTGTAGGATTAGGCTTGCCAGTAGCATCATCAAAAACAAGGAATTTTCCAAAAGCTTAATAGTAGGCAAAGGTTTAGGCATTTTGGTTGTAGAACTATTGAGAATATCTTCAATAATAGGCCATTGATCATGTTCTATATTAAATGTTTGATCATGTTCTATATTAAAGAAACGAATACCAACATTTGACATCTCCAACGGAACAGATGCATTAGCAGTAGTTTTCAACTGATTTTCTACACGGGTATCAAGCATTTCTTGTTTCAATTTAGTATCAACATAATACAAATCCTTTAAAAAAGGATGATAAGGTTAACGCTCAGCCCACAAATTAGGAAACTCCCAAGGAAAATAATGTTATTTACAGTATCAGCAGAAAGAGGTAACCCAATATAAAATGTCTTTTTAATAATATATTCATCAAAATAACCTCTACTGTGCTCATAATTACGTTCAACGACGAAGTCTACGGCGGCTGGTTCTGGATTGTTCGGGGGTTGCTCGGCCATTACCGACTCGATGTGTCCCTCTTCTTGACCAACCGTTTCTGCCTTTTGGATGAATGTATCTTCTTGTGTATGTCCGCACCATAGACTGACGAGATATCAAATGACAAATAACCAAAAACTTTATCTATTATAGCCTGACTCTCCTTCATAACGCTCCAAGGCTTAGCATACTTAGGTAATTCATCATAAAACTTGGGAAACTGATAAGGTTCAAAGCTATATTTATGAAATTGTTAACAATTTGTGCTTCCTAAATAAAAGGTATCTCTTTCGGGTCATATATATCAACCTGACCTGGCTTAAGCCTCATATAATCTGCTAAATCATCCTGAGGAACAGGCTGATAATCAGGATCATAATTCCACCCTTCAACACTCTCAACACAGTACTCATATCTGTAACATTGCCAATCTTAGTAGAATTAGAATTAACAGAACTAGTATTAGAAGACGTAGAGCGAGACCAATCAGATCATATCCTTCAATATATTAGTTGGTCTAGTTTTACCCATTTCTTTAAGAGCTATATATTCTGTTTTACTAACATTGTTTTTAGGTAATATAGCTGACTTTAAGATCTTACGTACATTAGGCATATGAATATAAGGTACAGCTTTATCTTCGCATAAAGATTATGATAAAAGGTACTGCTTTATCTTCGCATAAAGGTTATGATAAAAGAAAAAAGGCTTGGGAAATGATTAATGAAAGCCTTGGTGGTGCTTATACAGGTTAATAAATTGCTTGCATTTAAAGGGAAACTATAGAGGTTTAGGCTGATTTATGTAAATAATTGTAATTTATATTTTTTTATATAATTTAATATAAATACCTCTATAAAATTATACATACTTAAAATATATGAAACTATAAATTTATATTTATATATTGAACTATAAATTTATAATTAATTTATTTTATTATAAATTTATAATTCTAATCAAGCAATAGTAACTTATTATACTTATTTTAATAAATCATGGCACTCTAAGTACCACTGTGCCTTTTTTAGGTTTAGTTGTTATATTTGATTTTTTGTTTTTAAAAACTCACTCTGTTCCATTTAACTTTATAGTTGAATCCCTGAAAAAGCTATGGAAAGGTTTACGAGAAAAATTTAAACGATACAATGACAGACGAGAGAAAGCAACACAGTCAGGTGCAGCAGCATCTATACTGCCAATTTGTAAGTATTTTAGGCAACTACAATTCTTGACAGATACAGTCTGTTCTCAAGACACGAATTCAAACTTAGATTCAATAGTTGAAGAAAACGTCGATATAGAGACCAACTATGAACACAAAAAATTCAGCTGAACAAGTTGGTTGCTTAAGTCGCAATAAAAAATTACCTAAAGCAGTCAATGCATTTGATAACTTACTTGTTGAGAGTTTAAAACAATTTAATAAAGCTGACAATAAAACTATTAACACAGATTCTGATGATTTATATTGTTGAAGTTTATATAGCAGGTTGAAGGAGCGTCCGAAAAAAAAAAATCGCTTGGCAAGAATAAGAATTGAAGTGATCTTATTTACTTTAGAGTTTGAAGACTAATATACTTTTAAACAAAAGTTTTTATATAAAAATTATATAAATTTATTTATATTTAAGATAAAAAACCTCAAACTTTAAATTATGTTCTTTTTTATTCCTTGTATACAATGTCTAGATATAAAAATTTACTATTTTCTGTTGTTCTTCATCGAAAGGATTAGATGTACTGTTAACTAATCTATGTTACCATAAGACTGAGTCCTCCTCCGAATTAAAGCAATCTCTATAATTATTTCTTATAGATTTTGCTTTTGTGATGGAATTATGGCCTCCTTGACATTGAATTTATTTAAGTCCTTGAGAATTATTTGTTTCTTTTCTCCATCGACCAGGAATACTCTCCTGGGAAGTTTCTTGATCAACATAATCACTTGGGTAATATGAAAAATTATCTGTTTTTATTTGTATTTTCATTAGAAAGTTGTGCAGAGCCACAGTTGCTTTTACGACAATTTTTACATTTTCAACTTTTGATACTATCGGTCTTCTAAATATTCTGAATTTGCTAGCCAATACCCTAAAAGAGTTTTCAATTACTCTTCTTCCTCTTGACAAGCGATAGTTAAACACAATTTCTGTTTTATCTGTTTTATTTGCCTCGTCGGCTAAAAAAGTATAGGGAAATGTTATGGATTTTGAACAACCACTTATAAATGATGGATCAGGAAAATTTAATTGATTATTTTCAATAGCAGATCCAACTTTGCTACTAGTGTAAATACCACCATTGCTTTGACGCCCGGAGCGTCAAATATCGACCAAAGTAAATTCATATTTTCTATTTTATGTTGCTAAATGCACAATGCTAAATGTTTTTTTTGTAGTTTATAGTAGTGATGTGCCGGGTACCCGTTTCGGACCCGGGGACCCGGCAATTCGGCTGTTTTACCGGGTACCCGGTATCGGCCATTTTGTTGCAGTACCCGGCACCGAGTATCTTTAAATTGATTTTTCCTTTAGTTTCAATTTTAAACATTAAACTTCTTGATATAACTCTAAAAGTGTTAGTGGTAGTCGATAACCACAAAGTCCTATTAACTTAAAACTATCTCACTTAAATACTTTTTAATACAATATTCTGTAAAAAAATTTATACGGATACAAAAACTGCAACGCTAAATGAAATAATTCGAGAATACGAATAAAAGTTACGAATACGAGAGTTACGAGAATACGAATTAATAAATAAAAGTTACAAGAATACGAATTAAAGTTTTAAATAAGCTTCTTTTTATTCTGTTTGAACACAAGATAATTTTGCGAAGTTTTTATTCCACCTTTTAAAAAATGGACTCGGACCCGGTTTTTTCAGGAATCGGAGACTCGGCATAAACTGGTTCCGGCACATCTTTAGTTTAAAGTACTTTGAGCCACTGCGGGCTGGGGACTGATTAATTACATATTTACCATCTATAGCCCTATAACAATGAGGAAAATTTCATCGTTCGTAGAAATCAGAAGACATTTCAAGCCATTCTTTTGGTGAAGAAGGAACTAACAAATATCCTTTTTTACATATAACATTCCAAATTACTTTACATGTTTCTATGATAATTCTTCCTACAGTTGTAGGGCTCATTCTGAAACTTATTGCAATTGTTATCTGAGCATCGCCAGTAACAAGATATCTTAATGCAATACATAACCTTTCTTCAGCAGTTGCAACTGCCTGTCTCAGAGAAGATTTAGATATAAATGGAGCAACCCATGATAATAATATTCTAAGTGTTTGTGGACTCATGCGAAAACTTTGAAAGAAATAGTTTTAGGACAGTTTTAGATCTTTTACTAATACATTAAAAAGACCTTTTTGTGAACGTTCCATAAAAATTCTGCGCATCCACATGTTATGTTTTTACGATTTCTCAATAAAATACACTTTTTCAATATCAGCAACAAAGTTATTTTTTTTTAGTAAATTTCTTTAATTTAAAACCATTATATTTTTTTGATTGAAAAACAAAACAGTAACAAAATTCAGCGCGGTAAATGGAGATCAAATTCCGCTTGAAGTTTTCCGCCCAAGCCATCCAGTCGGAATCACGTGACTGTATTGCGAAACCAAAAGTAACCATATTGAATTGGGGGAAAACAAACTATTCTTTCCTTAGCGAAGTTAAGACTTTTTTAGAAGCACTATGTCCTTCAATTACTTTGAAACTTTATCAAAAGAAGCAGCGGAAAGGTATCAGCGAAAGATAAATCTTCTAGGTAATTTTACTTTAGTTTTACTCTGTTTAAATTAAAAAAATGCTATTAATTGCTGTTTAAATATTATTTTGGTTAAAATATTCTTTTGGTTATTAAATATTATTTATTGGTTATTAAATATTATTAGGGTTAAGTAAATGTCCATACAAGTTTACAGCAGATTCTTGGAGTGAAGATCCAAGTCAGTGGCCTTCTTTAAGCTATCACAATCTTTATCACTACTTGATTAAAACTTCACGTAAGGAATTCTTATCTACTTTCAAAGTTTTTTTTATTATTTCATTATACCAATAACATTAGTAACATTAACTGCTAACATTTCAAAAATTTTTTGTTTTCTTTGCTTTATAATATATATTAAGGATGTATATACATGGATGTATATTATATTATGCTTTATATTATATATTATTTAAAAAAAATGTATATACAAAATCCTAATATAATTTTTTCAATGTTAACGTTTATTAGGTATCTATTCTCCAGAAGCAATGGAAAACTATAAGGCATTAGAGGCTTGGAGATTCTTTCAAGATGGGTGGGTCCAAACTATTGTCCATATGAAAGTATGTCAGAATGTTACTATCTTGAAATGTAAGGTTCGACCTTCATATAGGACCACATCTCCTAACCATAAACCTTGGGTTGCTCTTAACTCTCTTGGTAATGTTTTAACTGCTCACTGTGACTGTATGGCTGGGTAAGTCTCTTTTATATAAAATTAGTAAAAATAGAATTAATAATTTTGATTATTAGTATAAGCTAATAAAAAATTTATAAACTGATAATAATTGTGAGTTATTTTGTGGAACTTTTCATATGTTTTTATACCTATAGTTTACCTATATTTTTTATCGACTATAGTTTTATAGTTTTTATCTATTTTTTAAGTCTTGGTGAAACGTGCTCACATGTTGCTGCAATGCTATATAAAATTGAAGCTGCTGTTCGTATTGGAATGACATCAAGCACATCAACTGACTTGCCTTGTCAATGGAACCAAACATTTACGAAAAGTATTGTTGGCTCCCCAGTTGCTCAAATCAACTTATATTCTGATGCTGCAAAAGAAAAACTTTCAAAAAGAGTAAAAGAAAAATGCCTATTTCTCCAACACCTCAAGAAAAAAATGATTTTTAATCAGAAATACAAACTGTGCAGCCCAAAACTGCTGCTCTTCATTTGTTATGATAAGGAGTTTATTCAAAAAGAATCTGCTGTCGTACCAAAATTACCAACATCTTTGAGAGAGTTTTTTAATGAAAACTATAAATCACTTAATAATGAACAAAAGCTATCTTATCTTGATGAGAAAAAAAAAAGAAATAAATTTGACTTCTGATATGATAGTTTATGTTGAAGAAGCAACACGAAATCAATCGCTATGTGATACCTGGTTTAGAGTAAGAGTTGGTCGAATAACTGGCTCCACTTTGCATCAAGTATTTAATGCTAGAGTTGAAACACCTTCTGTGTCATTAATTTTAAATATTTGTGCACAGAAAAATATACAGATAAAAAGTCCTGCAATAAAGTGGGGAAGAGTAAATGAAATAAATGCATTGATTTAATATAAACAGATTCATTCTGACTCAAATGCAATAAGTAACTCAAAACCGCTGTCAGAGATTTTTATTCATCAAAATTTGAGAGTTGAAAAAATTGGACTTTGTATTGACTTTGAAAAACTATGGTATGCAGCATCTCCTGATGGTGCTGTTTATTGTACTTGTTGTGGGCATGGAGTTTTAGAAATTAAATGTCCTTTTAGTTTAAAAGACAAGTCATAAAAAGAGCACAAAATTAAAAATGCTTTTAATGTTGGTGTAAACGCGGATGGAAACTACTTTTTAAAAAAAGAACACCAATATTTTTTCCAGGTTCAACTTGAAATGAGAGTTACTGGAGTCAGTTACTGTGACTTCATGGTGTGGACACCCAGTGAATTTGTTGTATTGCGCATTGAGCCTGACACCGCTTTCATTGAGAATGTATTAATTAAGTGTGATATCTTTTGGAATACTTTTATTTTGAGAGAGTTAGTTACACGAGAAATCGAATCAGAAAGAGAATTGCTTTCCTCAACATCAAATAAAACGATAAATAAAGACATACTTTTTTGCAGTTGTAAATCTATGTTTTCAAAGTGATGATACAATGGTTGGTTGTGGTTCATGTGATAACTGGTTTCATTTTAAATGTTGATCTTTGGAATCAGCGCCTAAATCTTCTGTAAGGTATTGCAGTGACTGTAAATCCAAAAAAAAGTTCCTACACACTATAAAAGTAATTTATGTATTTTTAATTTTAAAATATAATTATAAGTTTTTTAAACTATATATTAAATACATTATGGAAATTTTTTTTAGCCTTTTATACAATAATGGTGCACAGTTGAGAAATCAAGAAAACATTGGCTTGCTCAATTAAAAGAATATGTATCTTCTTGGTGAGTTAAAAAAACGGCTATTTTCATAGCCACATATTATTAAAAACATATTAAGGCGTACGTTTTGAACTAATACAGTTTCAAATAAAATACTTATAGCCAGTTTAGTTGTTTTGCGCTTTATATGAAAACCCTTGCCTGTCAAAAAGAGAAAATTCTTCATAATAACCTTGGATTAGGGTAGGTGGCACTTTTAGATGCTTATTAAAAGGGTGACTCTCGATATCTTGTTTTATGGTTTTGATTTTTTAAACAGTACATTAAAAGGTTTTATTCTTATCCGTGTCTTTATAATTTTTTTACTTTAAAGTCTGATTACACCAAAAGTTTAAAACTTGTAACCCCTACCCCCTCTCTCTCTTTCTCATAGAACTTTTTAAAAATAATAATAAACATGGAAGAAGATAAAATAAAAGAGGGGGGTCTTAATGCATTTTTCAAAAAGTTGTGAGGTCATAAAACGATCTGAGTATTTTTATCTTCCTTAATATATAACTAAAGGTAGCGATAATTTGCAGGGCCGACGACATCATGGAGACACCGAACCCCATCCCCCTCCCCCCAACCACTTTTTTTCTAAAGGACCCTTTTTTTTTCTTTTAGAAAATTCAAGATATCGAGGACTTTTCTTAGAAATTGATAATTATGCCCCTCCACTTCGAAACTCATGTCGTTGGCCATGGTTTGGTACAGAAGATTTTTAGAAATTTAACCTTCTCTGATTTTTTAACGGGAGTTTAAATTGCGTTGCTTTTCTTTAAACCGACTAACACCCTGGTTTTTTCCCTTTATTCGTGTTCGTTTTTAACACGGTAGAGAATTACTCTCAATTAAAAACCTACCTTTTTTAAAATTATAACTTACAACAGTTCCTTGTAATGTTTAAAAATAAAAAACAAAGAAAATTGTCTGCAGGGCTGGAATTATAAAATATGTTAGCATGTATGGGGTTAACCGTGAGCATGTAGAGGGGTTAACTGAGAGCATACAGGTGTGTACAGCAAAGGATGGCCTTCAAGACGGCAAGTATTTATGCGGTTTTCTTTAACCAAAGACAATAATTTTCATTCCTTCTGTTAAGAACGCATGTTTTTTAGTTATGCACAAAAAATTTTAAAAGTTTTGATTTTGTTTGGTTTTACAATTTTGAAATATTACTCGATTTTATAATAATAATATATATGTATATATATATATATATATATATATATATATATATATATATATATATATATATATATATATATATATATATATATTGGAATAGCATATAACAAAAGACAATAGACTATGTATTTTTTGTTACCAATAATAAAACCACTAATCTCTTGTAAAGAATTATCTATACCAAGTAATACTTTTAATATGATTTGTGGCTATGAAAATAGCCGTTTAAAAAATAACTAAGATAAAAGGTGAGTTTTATCGTAAACAATACCTTCCCCAAGGTTTGTTAGAGCAGCGCATACGGTTACTATTTTGTCACAATTAGAAAGAGTAAGTGACGTAGCTTCGTCAGAAATGTTTTTAACTGTTCGCAGCGGCAAAGTACCTTGAAGAATTGTATAGCGGTTTTTTAATAGTCCAATAACTCTTTCAATATGTATTCTAACCGATGATATATTACGAGATTTTTCTACATCTGAAGCAGAAAGTTGAGCTTTACCTTTCGTAAAAGCTGGGTTTATCAATAAAGAGCAGCTTCCAGCAGCAAAATCATCTTGCAATGTAAAACCTCTATCTGCTCAAATTTGATCACCTGGCATATGGTACTTGCTAGATGCGAATTCTGATTCACGGACAATTTGATTATCTGAAGCTCTACCTCCATAGCACTTAGAAATAAAATTGATAGCTCCAAGAGGTGTACACGATATAAGACATTTTATTGTGCAATTCTTTTTATATTGGCTGTAAAATTGTGATCTTGCCATAAGGGATGATGTCGATTCCACAAAAACCTCAAAACAATCAATAATCGATGTTAATCGTGGAAATTTGCACTTGAAAACTGGAGGAATTGTGTCGTAAATATGATCCCCATCTTGCATTTTCATTAAAAACTTTAAATTAATATACATAATATCTATCCATTTCCAAAAATTGTTCAATGCAGTAGTTTTTTTAAAACCAAACATATACGATAACATATCAAAGTTAATGTTGTGCCTTAACTTTACTAAGCAGAATACAATTTGATCTGCTGAATCCAATCTTTTAAGTAAACTTTCATCAGTTCCTTTGCACAGGAAACACAGCAGCTTTTCTAATACTGGTAGACTTAAACCTGTAACCATAGTGCATTTATCAGGTTGTGATCGAATTTTATTTATTCCCAGGTTGCAATTATCAAATTTTAAGGACATAAACTTTGACATAAATAAATCTCTTTCTAAACGAAGATTATTTATTTCACTATAGAGTTGTTGTCTCTCCGATGTTGTTACAGGTCTTATGCCATCAATATCTGAATACAAATTAAAAAAACTCTCAGTGGAATTTTGCTTTAACTGACAATCGGTGTCATTAAGAACACTTGTTTCTAAAAAAATAGAAGAAAAAAGTATTTATATTTACTTCTAAGTAGGTAAGTATTTATATTTACAAATATTTTATATAAAAGACAAAGATATAATTGAAGATAAGATAAATATATTTTTGTAACTCTTATTGGAATCTTCAGCACTTATAGGAATAGGAAATTCTGGAAAAAATTAAAACACTGTATTTATAAAGAATTTCCAAAAAAAAGAAGAAATATATATAAATTGGTCATTTGAGAAACACCTCATATACAAATAAATAAAACTCAAAAAAAAACCATATTCATACATCTTTCGAATTTTTTTGCATTTTTCTACTGGAGTGACTAAGTGGAGATGATTTGTTTTATGCATGTTGGATGTGTCTAGCCTTCACAAACAATTTAATGTCTAACTTAATTTTGGCCAAAAATGGACATTTCTCAAAAGACTGATTCATATATATATTAATTAAATAGTAATCAATACCTTGTCTAAAAATATCACTTGAGCATTGTTCTAAATTACCTTCATTAGGTGTAGAAAACCAAAACTCTAGAAGAAAAAATCAAACTTTTTTTAAAATGTATGTAGATTTGAATACAATAATTAATCCTTGTTTAAAATCTTTTCAAAAACATTGTTCTAGAAGATTTTTATTTGCATTTAGGATTACTATGTTCTGGAAAATATTAACAAATAAAGTGTTTATCAATGAGTTTTACAATTGTGCAAAATGAAAAACATAAAAAATTATTCTTAAAAAAAAAAGGTTTTAATATAAAAATTATCTATAAGCTTCAGAGCATTGATTGAAAATATTTTCATTATTCATTGGAAAATAAATTCTTGAGAAGAATTTTTTATTAATTTACGACAAACATTAACAAGACAAAATACAAAAAATTTTATCGCAATTGTATGCTTTATTCATATCTATTCTAAAACTATTGCTAAATTTTTGTTTTATAATAATTCTATTAGGTTTTGAAACGCTAAAATCTGGGGAAGAAAAATCAAAATTAAAAGGAAAATAAAAGAATATAAACATTTGAATATGATAATCAATACCTTCGCTAAAACTTTTGCTTGAGCTTTGTTTTAAAAGATCTTCGTTACATGTAGAATTACTTAAACTTTTGCTGGAACATTGTTCTTATTGCTCCTTATTTGATTCAGAAGGATAAAATTCTAGAAATGTTTTAAAAAAATCATTTTTTTTAAATTTAAGAGATGAAGTTAAAATTTAAACTTTATTTCTTTAAAATTTAAAAACAATACCTTGTTTCTCAAAACTCTTGCAAGAACATTGTTCTAAAATACTCTCTGTATATGCAGAATCATTGATTTCTGAAAAATTAAATTCAATTTTTTCACAGTTTTTTTTTATTCATTTACATTACAGCTACAACACATAGTCATTCATTTATAATATCAATAAAATTAACTAATTTACTTCATTATTTAATATTAATGACCTTTACTACATAAGCTCTTTTTTTCAATTACAAATTCAACTTTTTCTCTGTTAGATTTATCAAAAAGTTTTTCTTACTTACATACAGGAACAACCAAATCTGTTTAACAAAAACAACATAAAAATTCATCAAAACAAAACAAAAACATAGCATTTCAAAATACAAAATGAGAGTTTTTCCTAAAAATTATTTGAAATAAAAATAATTTTTACTTTGTCTACTTATTCTTCTATTGACTCTAATAATTCTATTATTATTAATTTTTCTTTGAGGGGAACCTAGTTTTTCAGTATCGAAGATTAAAGGAATTGAGTCTGGATGTTTTTCAAAAAGTTCTCTTTTTCCTAAACAATTGTAAATATTGTAGTATAAAAAGTACTGATATATGTATATGTATTTATCAATACTAATTTAAGATGCAAAGTAAAAGTACCCACCAGTCATAAAATGTGCCGAACAAACATAAACATTAGAAAATTCAGGAGACCACTGCTTCCTACATGCACTATTATCTGCAGCACGATTTATCACATTTAGCCACTTTCTTCGAAGTATTTCATCTCGAGGAAGACTATAAAACTTAAGTTCTTGATTTTTTTTAATATTGTTAGTGCAACCAACAACACAACAACTTTTTGGCATTTTTTTTAAAAAGTACTCAACAAACCGCTATGGATTTTTTAGTTTGTTTTCCCCCAATCAAGATGGTAAATTAAAAAAAAAACCTTTTTAATACGGTGTGACGTCACGCCGACTGAATGGAGAGCAAGGTATCGCGCGGAATTTTTCGCCTAAGCGCAAAAAATTCTGAATGGAGAACGGGCTTTAAAGTGTTGATTAAGATTCACCTAACCATTTCTGCTTAAAATCATACCCCCTATGTCCCCCTTTTGAAAGTTAAATAAATTCATTCAGCTGGCATGCCATTGCCATGGCAATCCTAAGTTTGCCACGCATCCTAATTTGCGCGGCAAATTTACGTACGTTGGCGTAAATTTTGGCGGCAAAATTTACGGCAACGTACGAAAAATTAAAATAAAAAATTTACAAAGATATTAAATTCTTGTGGAAATAATTACAACTTGTAATAATTAAATACAATAATTACAACAACAAATAATTACAACAACAATGTAATTAATTATTTTTTCACTAAATTGTGATAATGATGTTATTCTATTATTATAACTATTACATTTTAAATGTCAAATATGTTAAAAATCAAATAAATTTTCCATTAATTTTACATAAATTACAAATTTTTTCATTTTAAATAAAATGTTTCATGCTAATTTTTTTATATTGTTACCAATTTAACTGTTTTGGAAAGAAAACTCAATTAATTCAGACGTCTGATTAAAATCTCAACTCAATCTCAAGCTTTTCAGTCACTTGTTAATAAAATACAAATAAATATCTTTGCAGTCAAATTCCAAACTATAATATTTATAAATTAGTAATCCTCTGGCTTTTCATTCTCCTACCCTCAATCGCTCTAAATTCTCTATATATTTATGAAATTCTATCTACCTAGTCCTTTCTTATCCTTAATTCCTTGGTTATTAATACTGCTTTTCCTTTTACATATTTTTTTTTTTCATTTTGCTATTTTTATTGTTTTTATTATTTTATTGTTTTTATAGTATATTATCATAGTTATTGGCGAGAATTTTCTTGACTCTTTATTTATTATTACTTATTGTCATCATCCATTTTTTCTATTTCTATTTTCATTTCTATTTATCTTAATTTTATTGGTAATATTATTGTTATTAAAGATTTTTTATCATGATAATTATTCTTTTTTAATATGATTGAACTTAATATTATGATTATTATTCTTATCATTGTTATTTTGTTTCCAGATGATAGTAGTAATAATTTTTTTTATTTTAATTTTTTTCTATTTTACTATCATTATTACTTATTATTGCTATAAATATATATTGATTTATTGTTTATTGTTGTTTTAATTGTTAGTAGTATTTACACTGTTAGCATATTATTATTATTATTACTATTACTATGTTTCTAAATGTCTATATTGATATATTGTATTAGGTATTTACTTTATATTAGTACTCGAACTATTGTAAATAGTACTATTGTAAATATCGTTGAAATGTTAAGCAACTTGTTTCAAAAGTACTATTAGTAATAGTAGAACCAATAGTAGTAAATTAGTATTATCAATAAGTAAACAAATAGTACTATTGTAAATACGTACTATTGTAAATATCCTTGAAATATAAAACAACTTGTTTCAGAATATATTTGATTTGATTAATAATAAACTATAATATAAATTTATTGTTTAAGTTTTAAAATATATTATTTTCATAAAACATCAGATTTTCAAGGGAAAACTATGAATCACTTGACTTTCATTGAGTGCAATAAATCAAGTATAAGTGAATATAACAAATAAGTTGTGGTGCTCATTTATTTTTGATTTATTAGATCAATTTATTATTGTTGATGTTTTTTTATCGTAGAATTTTGTTTAGTAACATCTAAGTAGATTTATATATATATATAAATATTTATTTAACAAATAAATATGCGTACGTACTCGGAAGGGGTTTTCGAAAGCGTACAGGTTCGTATAAGGGGAGAGAGGGTCCTAAATAAGTGGTTTCACTGCGTTCGTACGTTATAGATGCCCTTTAAGCATAATTAATTTTCCTTTAGCTTCATCAATTTTATTTTATTTAGCTTTATCAAATTTTTTTCATTTATAATTCAAATTCCTCAGTAAATTTAGGCTCATTTATTTTGATCAAACTATTAGGAATCCGTTTCCAAATTACACTAAGTTCAGAAGAGCCTTGCCTAGCACTCCATTGCTCGTGAAGCTAAATCTCTCTAACCAAAATTATTTTTAGCTCTTTGAGTCATAGCAAAGGTTTCCCATAGAAAATAAATATAAAAGCCATACATTTATATAAATATAACTTATATCTTAATATACTTATGTTATAAGTGCCTATAGGTATAGATAAATATATTTAAACACAAAATAATAATGTGTTATTTTCCTTTCTTCTTTTTATAATTTCAAAATCTGTTTATCAAAATGATAAGTCGTTTTAAATTATAAATAACCAGAACATTACTAAATGTGTAACTTCAGAAAATACTTACATTTTGAGGTTCACAATATTCACTGTGTTTTTTAAAATTAAAACTCGCGCTTTCAGAAAATGTGAAATTTAGTATTTTGAAGTCAATAGCACAGACATAAACTTCAGTTTGGGATTTCAACCAAGTTACGCACGTGCATTTATACATTATTTTGTATGCGTCGTCGGCGTTTCCGATTTTAAAAACACTTTATTTCAGTTAAAGGTATGCATAGAAAAAGTAAACTCTGTTATAATAAAACTATAAATGTAAGGCGTATACGAGCATTCCTTCTAAAATACGTGGCTACTGATTAACCATGTTGATGATTAGGTGAAGCAGGTACTGATATGGCAGTTGTTGCGTATAAAAAAAGGTTCTAAAAGACTATGATTGAGTATTAACACAATTTCAATTTGTCTTAATACCCAGAAGAAGTGATAAATATTGGAAACTTACCTTGAATTTGTTTTCACATTAGAATACTGCCAAGACAAGTAGACTCCTTTTGACTCGCAAAAATCTTACTGAGTCGAGTCATCTAAAGTCTATCAAAAGACGCGGTAGTCTGACTTAGTGTTAAAAACAAGCATTATGCTGCGAACCTTTAAACGGGATCGCATAAATCCATCGCAAGCCGATTGACCACAAAGAGCTAGCGATGCATCCGTAACAATCTTTACACACACGGTTACACTGATTGAGTGTGACACCGACATATCTAACTCAACAGTAAAGGATCCATAAGTTGCTACATATAGTCAAATGTTTGCTTCTGTAACAATCATCCGAAGTACTTATTTCTTTTCTGTACAGGGTCAAAGCAACATTTCAATTAGGTAAAGCGACTACTGAATTGTGCAAAAAAGATCTCGTACCATCTTTACATGACGGATGCATTTTAATGCTGAACTAAAGTGGAGCATAAACCTTTACGTGACCAAATGTTTAAGATTGATTGAAAGCTCTGTTCTTCACTAGTGTCATACAGACATAACGTATTTGCTATGGTAAACCACCGTGAACCATCGAAAGCTTCCGGGTTTCTTTTAGAAAGAGTCGGCGAATATACTCCCACCGATACGGTTTCAGACATCTGCCGCAAATATTGATGATCCGTTAATAATTGAAATGAAATAATTGACAGAACCACCTCGATTTATTTAAATAACACAACCGGCAATGTATGACAACTTGCTAGCACTTTACCAATTGCTTTCGAGTATCTGACCTCAATCTGTCTAAATACTGTATCAAATGTCGTAAAAGCAATTTATTTGCATGTAAAATGTAAAATACCTACTGCAGCGTCTTCCGTTATCTTTTTCGAGTAACAATATTACACCACCTGCTCAGTTGGTATTCACGTTTGTTCCGTCGCAACCTATAGTAACAAAATGTTCACGTCAATGATATTATCTGCGATGAAACTAGCAAGAGAACCTTTAATATACTTTGTTGTACATAGATACAATGATTTTGGTTAAAGAAATAAAGAAATGTGTTCCTCGGTAACAATGCGACAGTAAAACTTTGAATCTTCTTAAATTTATCAACGCCGCCAATGGCCATTAATCGCAAGGTTCTTTGATCAGGCAGGAATGTCTGCTCTGCAAAAGACAACTTGCGATTCTTGTCACAGGAACAAACTTCAAAAATACATTCGCAGGCCGAAATATCGAAAAGTCTTGAATTGTTTGCGAATCGAAATATTGAAAATCTTGAAATGATTCTGAGTCGAAATCTTATCGAAATGTCTTTGAATTGATTCTATCGATCGCCACTTTACTTCATGAATTGGTCGTGATTTGAGCGAATCAACCAATATTGCGATTATGCGAGTATGCGAATCAACCAATATTGAGAGTATGCGAATCAATTTTAAGGAGTATGCGAATCAACCAATATTGAGACATAATTCGTTCAATGTTAGGTGCAACCGCCCCCAATATATCCGAGACGTTTTGGTTTTATTGATATTTGATTAGCGCTAAGTATATCATAACATTTCCTTATTTCGTAATTTAAATCCAAAACCGAATACAATATGAGTCACATTAATACAAGTTATCGTTTTATTTTGTAAAAACTAATTGCTAAAACAAATAGGTAAAGTAAAATAGAATTGTAATCAGCATACTATTTGGAATAGTATGCTGCATATTAGAATATCCAGATACTATTCTGTGTAATATTCAGAAAAGTGTTATCACGGTAACATATCGGTACTAACATTAGTACCGATATTATTGTAGAATTACGACATATTTGTGTATACAGTGGTGGCTAAAAGTCTTGGAACAAAACAATTAACGACCAATAAAATTTATTTTTGATCTAAAGTGAAGGTTTGATGCTTTTGCTTTTACATAGCAATATGTTTAAAGTTACATATTTGTATATTGCGCAATTTGTTATCGTTTTTTATTATTCGTAAGCAATTTATCAGCTATATTATGCCAGACCTTTCACCTAAAAAAAGAGGAATTATTGCTGCATTATATGAACAAGGTTAAGTT